AGATTCTACACTATATAAATGTAACCCCTAAGCCAAAAAATCATGCACTAGTGATTCTGAAAAAGCTCTAGACGATTTTTGTGTCTCCAAACCTCTCTCTCAAGTTCCTCCTCTTATTCTTGGTTTGTTATAAGACATTTGATGCATCACAATTGAGGTGCTAGGCTCTTGAAAGATCAATTCGTACAAGCTACAATTAAGAGGTATTCTTCTAACTTACTTTTATATTTCAATTACCAATATTGTATGCTAGTTGTAGGTTTCTAGCTTTGGAAATTTGTATTTCATGTATAACTAGAGAAAACTTAGATCTAAAGCTATTAGAGTTGTATGTACACCATAGGAGTATTAAAATACATAAAACCCAACATATATATATATATATATATATATATATATATATATATATATATATATACTTTTTAGCTTCCCGATACCATGCATTTACCTCTATTCCTCTTCGCGGACATGTTTTTTTTTACCCAGGACACCACTGCTCTCTTCTCTCTCAAGGTACAACTTAGATCTAAAGCTATTAGAGTTGTATGTACACCATAGGAGTGTTAAAATACATAAAACCCAACACACACACACACACACACACACACACACACACACACATATATATATATATATATATATATATATATATATATATATCCTTTTATTATCATCCATTTTCATTATTTATACATTAAACATATATTATTTCACCATACTGATGTGTTAAACGTAGTTCTTCATTTAATCGTTTGGTTGTGTGTTAAACACATTCGTTACCATTATTATATATTATCATTATGTTTATAAATATTATTATTATTAGTAATATGATTTTTAATTGTCCGTGTCTTAAATATGTAAAAAACAATCCAAAAAAGTTTTAAGACTCGAGTAATAATAATAATAATAATAATAATAATAATAATAATAATAATAAACAGTGGTGGGTGGTGGAGTTACGTACTATTCCTAACTCCACCCAGGTATTCCTTCAACCGGAAATCACCACATATTCCATCTACCGATTTAGGGCTCAAAACGGTGTCGGAGATGAGTAGGTAATGAGGGTGGACACTGAGTGTGGATCAAAGGTGAGGTGAAAAAACGGGGAAGTAGGGTGAAGCACTGTAGAAAAAGGCTCGAGGAGGGGTAATGAATTAGCGGATTTACCATGGGTTGACAAAACTAACCCCTGAACAGTACACTTCTGCCTCTAGTATTAAAGATGGGAGTGGTAAGGAAAAAGAAGGCGGTGAAGGAAGTAGGTAAAGAAAAAAAATATGAGATATAAGGTAGTAGAAGATTAGCGGTGGAGGGAGCAACTTCGAGGAGGTGTTTTTATTTGAGGCGATGGATCAGTTAACCCTAAAACACGTAGCAACCAGATATCTTATATGCGGACACATGTGAGGGGGCTAAAGTTACAACCCCTCAAAGTTTTGGTCCAAATATGTCAAGGCATTACTCTCCAACCAATGGCATGTTTCAAATCGCAAAACCAGGGTAGAAAACAAAAATATGTAAATATATGGACCAAATATGACAAAAAAAGCCACCGAGTTTACTATTCATAAGAGTTGAGTTATATATATATATATATATATATATATATATATATATATATATATATATATATATATATATCCATAAAAACATTAACGATGAAATTATAAATTCATCGCTATTTCATAGCTATTCTCTTCCTTCAATATTTCAAAACTATTCTATAGCTAATCGCCTACGGAATGCTTATACATTTACTTCCTTCGCTATTCCGTACTAAATTAAAGCACCCGGCCCATTTTATATGTACAAAACCTCTCGTTTTCTAGTGTGTGTGTATGTATATATATATATATATATATATATATATATATATATATATATATAATCCATACATCAATTTTTTGTATAAGTTTGTTTTTTAGGGTTTTAAGAACTTTTGTTTTACAACTTCAATGCATATATATATTTACCATTTGTTTTTAGATAATTCCTTTTACGTAAAAGTTACTAAACTAATTTTTTTTACACTTTTTGTTTTTATGTTTGTTCTTTTAAAAATTTATTTTATTTTATTTTATTTTTTGAAAAATTAGATTTTATGTGTGCTTCTTTAAAAATTTCCGTTCTTTCTACATATTAAGTTTTTGTTATAAAATCATTTTTAAAGTTTTTATTTAAGTGTATTTTATAAACTACCTGGTTTAATCTAAAAGCCTTTTTATTACTTGAAACAAAAATGTAAATATTTTGTGTTTAATGGTTAGAAACATCTAAGACTATCCTTATTAACAATTCAATCCAATAAATTTGTTTATTAAACTAGTTTTTCTATCTTCCATAAATACAATCTGACTAAACATAAAAAGTATATCAATATTGGTTTTAGGTTCAAATGTGGTTTGATATCTATTGCGTGAACATGTGGGTAAAGCTATTATGTAAGAATTATAAAGAAAATATGTTGTTTGATAATATGAATACATTCAATATTATATAATTATTTTAATTATTAAGCATTTTCACTAATTAAATCGTCTATATATATATATATATATATATATATATATATATATATATATTATATATATATATATATATATAATTATATATATATATATATATATATATATATATATATATATATATATATATATATATATATATATATATATATATTAATTATTCTCATTCTGTCAGAATGTTATCAAGATATTTATTGAGTCGTATTCTGTAAGAATTAAAATAAATAAAAAACGATAAATGAGAACAAAAATGAATTAGAATTGGTGAGAATCCATTAAAATAAAAATAGTTCTGTGAGATTGAACGTATTCACATTACTAAACAACATATTCTCTTATAATTTTCATAAAATAGCATTATCCACACATCCACATAATAGTTGTCCATCTACATTATAACCTAACCCTATATATATATATATATATATATATATATATATATATATATATATATATATATATATATATATATATATATATATTCATTGTTGTAAAAATCTCAACTAGGTCCCGATTAATCTCCGATTAATCCCTAGGCGCTACTCGACCGATTAGAGGGCGCCTAGCGATTAATCCTTGCATACATAATGAGTGAAACATTATAATACGATGAAATTTTAACATTTTGAAGAAATTTTATCTCAATGGAAACTATTTGAGGCATGATTAGTGTTGTATTAATCATATTAACATATTTGTTATAAAATTAATGGTATTTACGAACTTTGATATGATATTAGTCATATTCTTTTTTCTAAAATTCAACAAATTAGCAATTAATGGTACCCGATTAATCCCTCGATTAATCTCCGCCTAGCTGATTAATCCCTTGACCCCAGTCCACCGACTAGCTAACGTCGAGCGATTTTTGCAACCTTGATATATATATATATATATATATATATATATATATATATATATATATATATATATATATATATATATATGGTTGGGTTCATGTGAGACGGCCTAATTTTGTGAGACCGTGAGACACATTTTTTTTATTATTTTTATTTTTTTTTTATAATTTTTTTAGTTAATTCAAGTTCCGAAAATAATATTAATTTTTTTTTATTTTTCCATTTATTTTGCATTTTAAAATTATTTTTTAGAATATGTACAGTGTAATATTCTATTAGAATATTTCACGTATTTTTCAAAAAAAAAATGGAATTTTTTTTTATTTTTTTATTTTTTTAGTTAATTCAAGTTTTGAAAATAATATTTAAAAAAAAAAGAATTTTTAGATTTTTCTATTTATTTGAATTTTAAAATTATTTTTTAGAATATTTCACGTATTTTTCATAAAAAAAAGGGGATATTTTTTTATTTGTTTTTTAATTTTTTTATAGTTAAATGAAGTTCCGAAAATAATATTAAAAAAAAAAAAGAATTTTTGAATTTTTCCATTTATTTTGCATTTTAAAATTATTTTTAGATTTGGTATCACGGTCTCACAAAATTAGAATGGTCTCAAATGAACCTGAACCGATATATATATATTATATATATATATATAATATATATATAATATATATATATATATATATATATAATTATATATATATATATATATTATAGAACCTAGCCCTATATATATTTTCTTAGTAACTTTCATAAAATAGTTATCCATCCACATTATAACCTAGTTATATATATATATATAATTATATATATATATATAATATATATATATATATAATTATATATATATATATATATATATATATATCATGGGGGTTTAGAGGGAGGGCAAAGTGGGCAGCTGCACATGGCCTAATTTTTTTTATTATATATTTTTATTTAAAAATACAAAATTATAATAAAGACAAGGGCCTTTTTTTTCTTGTGCATCCTGAGTCTTTAAGAATATTTCATTTTTCAGGACCGACATTATATATATATATATATATATATATATATATATATATATATATATATATATATATATATATCCTTTTTCGCAAAGATAAAAATAGCTATTAACTAAAATTGTTTTAAATATAAAAATTAATTTAAATGAACCTATGTAATAAGAATACACATGACAATCTCGAGCCCTTCGGTGAACTGGTTCCTTACAACGTTTAGATCATCCACAATACATTAAACTTATTAAGGTTTAATAGATTGATAAATGATTATTTTATTAATTTTTCTATAATATATTGAAATCAATAGAGTTCAATGAAAGTAAGAGTTTAAAGGTTTGTTTTGTCCTATTAAAAACCAATGGTTATTATACTTTATATCCATTCTCATAATAATAAAATTTAATCCATTAAATACTAATTAGATTCAATTCTTCCATTAAATTATACATCATACTCTTAGCCGTACAGTTTATTTCATTTTTCTTTTTTAGTGGGTCAACCCGAAAAATCACCATTGGGATAGTCTACCCCCACCCACTTGGGATTTTAAATTATTAAATGGCCTACAGGCCTAGGCTTGTAGCATACTCTGTTTGAATTTTGTTCGTGTTAATCTTTCTATTTATATCTCATCTCATATTTCATAATGAAACCACAAATTCATCTTCTAACCATAACAGGAAACATAAAAATGGCTACACAATTCTTTACTCACTCAATCTCTAATTCAAATGTTATTTCATGGAGCAATTCTCATAATCCATGGCGGTTGGTGAGTTCTTCACCAAGGAAATTAATCTCCAGGTATTGCAAGTTCACGTCTCTACCTGTTTTGCCACGTGCCATCATTGCAACCCCATCATCCCAAGGCAACGCTTCTTTTCTCGTGAATTTTAGCCAACCCACGGTATATAACTTTTTAGATGTAATTTTTTTTCTCATGAAAGCAACATGAAAATGAGAAAGAATTCATTATGATCGTGTTATCTATGTTTGACATAGGTAATCTCTTCAGAAGTACATGGTAGCAATAGAGTCGCAGAGCTAAAGGGAAAGATAATAGCTTTAATGACAGATTCAAACCCAATCATATTAATGGAGTTAGTTGACAAAATTCAAAGATTGGGGTTAGGGTGCACTTTTGAAGAAGATATTAATAAAATAATGAAATATCTTGTTCAAGGTCATCCAAATGACGATTTATATACAGTGGCACTTCGTTTTCGTCTTCTTCGCCATAATGGTCTCCATGTTAATCCTGGTATATATATCATCGAGTAGTATATATTCTTTTAAAATTGAACACACATTTTTAAGCTAAAACTTACTTTTATTGGACTGTGAAATAGATGTTTTTGGATCATTCATGGATGCAAATGGTAAATTCAAAGAGTCATTGAGTGAAGATATAGAGGCATTGCTGAGTTTATATGAAGCTTCATACATGGGTGCAGATGGAGAAGATATTCTATCAGAGGCAAGGGAATTTACAACAAGGCACCTCAAGAAATCAGTATTCAAATTAACCCCCTTACTACGTAACAAAGTTCTTCAAAGTTTAAAGCTACCAAGACATCTAAGAATGGAAAGATTAGAAGCAAGAATGTATATTGAAGAATATGGAAACGAACAAGACCACATCCCATTTTTGCTAGAGCTTGCAAAGTTGGAATACAATGAAATCCAAATACTTCACCAAATGGAAATCTCTGAGATAACAAGGTGAAGTTTGTTCTGATTTGCTTTGAAATATATTTTTTGCCCAAATTGTTGCTAATCCGTCGCTAAAGATAAGTATTTTGCTAGACTAATTCTTGACGAAATTATT